CAAGGGCCGGTCCCTGCAAGGGCCGGTCCCTGCAAGGGCCGGTCCCTGCAAGGGCCGGTCCCTGCAAGGGCCGGTCCCTGCAAGGGCCGGTCCCTGCAAGGGCCGGTCCCTGCAAGGGCCGGTCCCTGCAAGGGCCGGTCCCAGCAAGGGCCGGTCCCAGCAAGGGCCGGTCCCAGCAAGGGCCGGTCCCAGCAAGGGCCGGTCCCAGCAAGGGCCGGTCCCAGCAAGGGCCGGTCCCAGCAAGGGCCGGTCCCAGCAAGGGCCGGTCCCAGCAAGGGCCGGTCCCAGCAAGGGCCGGTCCCAGCAAGGGCCGGTCCCAGCAAGGGCCGGTCCCAGCAAGGGCCGGTCCCAGCAAGGGCCGGTCCCAGCAAGGGCCGGTCCCAGCAAGGGCCGGTCCCTGCAAGGGCCGGTCCCTGCAAGGGCCGGTCCCTGCAAGGGCCGGTCCTGCAGGGGCCGGTCCCTGCAAGGGCCGGTCCCTGCAAGGGCCGGTCCCTGCAAGGGCCGGTCCCTGCAAGGGCCGGTCCCTGCAAGGGCCGGTCCCTGCAAGGGCCGGTCCCTGCAAGGGCCGGTCCCTGCAAGGGCCGGTCCCGCAAGGGCCGGTCCCTGCAGGGCCGGTCCCAGCAGGGCCGGTCCCAGCAGGGCCGGTCCCAGCAAGGGCCGGTCCCAGCAAGGGCCGGTCCCAGCAAGGGCCGGTCCCAGCAAGGGCCGGTCCCAGCAAGGGCCGGTCCCAGCAAGGGCCGGTCCCAGCAAGGGCCGGTCCCAGCAAGGGCCGGTCCCAGCAAGGGCCGGTCCCAGCAAGGGCCGGTCCAGCAAGGGCCGGTCCCTGCAAGGGCCGGTCCCAGCAAGGGCCGGTCCCCGCAAGGGCCGGTCCCTGCAAGGGCCGGTCCCTGCAAGGGCCGGTCCCTGCAAGGGCCGGTCCCTGCAAGGGCCGGTCCCTGCAAGGGCCGGTCCCTGCAAGGGCCGGTCCCTGCAAGGGCCGGTCCCTGCAAGGGCCGGTCCCTGCAAGGCGCTGAATGGCGCTCTATAAATGCTATCTTGTTGTTGTTGTTTTGTTGTTTTCAGGTGATCCTTTGCTGGGTTACAGTTCTATAGGCACCAGTTACCTTCCTCCATCTCCATTAGTGCTCATTCTTTGTGAGTGAGCCTTGAGAGCGAGAGTGATTGTTGTCAATCCAGACCAATCTTGTGATAAGGCTGACCCTAAAATTACCTGACATCTTGTGACCATGCTCAGGTTCCAATGGGGCAAGAGAGTCAGTCAGAAGCATGAACTCTCCCAAGCCAGGGACTCTGAGACCAGTCATAATAACCCAAAGCAACAACAACAACCTGCATTTACATAGCAGCCTTCGCATGGTATTGCATCTCGGAGTAGTTCTTATTGAGATCAAACTTGTGACATTCCTGAGATTCTATATTAAATGCACTATATCAAATGCAAGGTTTAATGCTACGGCAGTTGGTACTTTTACCCAGTGGGCCGTTAGAGCATCATCTGACTTTGGTTTTTAAATACCTGTTTTCCATTCTTTGTCATTTGACTGCCAGCTGCTCTCGAGATCTCAGTTCAGTCACTATACTTTAAAATAAATCCTGTGAAACGCTTTGTGACAACCTCCCGACATGAAAGGCATGATATCAAATGCAAGGAATATTATAATTATTTAAACTCTCAGGAGTAGCTTTATTCCTGTAAAGTAATTACAATAGTTACTTTACTTTCAAAGAATTCTGTACCAAAACTTAAAAACATTTCTGGCCTCTATTTATTATTTGTCAACTGAGCTCAGTTGGTAGCAATCTTGTCTCTGTGTCAGAAGGATGTTGCAACTATTTACAAATATACAGTCATTACATTTGACAGCAATTATATGTGAAGTGCTTTGAGATGTTTCAGTGTTCTAACCACTATATCAAATGCAACAATTATTTGGGCGATTATTTATGGTATGAAAACATTTCCATCCCTATATATTTTTTACAAGTTCAAATTTATTATATTTTTAGGACAAACTAGTTTTAGGAAATAAAGTGGGAACTTTTTTCCAGTGACCAAAGGTATATCTATGATAATCGTAGATATCTGTTGGAACTCTACTCTAAATTTAGAGTTCCTGGGGTTGGATGATGTACTTCCTGCTTGATATATTGGATATATTTAGAATTAGCTTGATGCTGTGATGGGAGGATGTAGGGCAGGTCCCTGCAGCGCAGGTCCCTGCAGCGCAGGTCCCTGCAGGGCATTACGCCGTTGTCTGAAGAAAGACCTCAGACGAATTGTTAAGGCCAGTGGAGGTAAGTGCAGCAATTTTTTTTACTAGGTTACTGTTTTGAATTATACATACTTTCAAACTAGTGATCCCCTGCCTTATTGGACTCCAGTTATCCGGAATTCCGACCTGGTTGGACGAGGCCCAAAACCAAAAACATTAATTTTATTCTGTGGGCCCAACTCCTAGCGCGGATCAATGGTGCACTGAGTAGCCTCTGTCTGTGCTGACATTCATAATGGCTAGTGATAGCCACTATGACTGACTCAGATTGTTTGAATCCAGCGAGCAGAAAATAGCTTATTCGCTATCTTCTTAGTCGAAAATTGATCTGATAACTCGTTCTGTAATATGGCATCTTGCATTACAAAGGCCTCCAGCCCGATGCTGTGATTGGTAGCGGAGGTTGGGTGCCTATGCTCAGATGCGTTGCAGAGGCCTGCTACGCTGTCTTACATCTTATCGTGTGACAGGATAGGGCCAAAAGCCACGGAGCAGCTGGGAGGACCTTTATCAAACTCGCTACTCCGGATAACTTATTGCTCAGCTCTTTACCCTTGGAGTGACAAGCTATCGAGTTTAATGTCCAATATTAATGTCATTCAATTTTGAAAGGTTGGCATTCGGAATCAGCTGGAATTTTCCTAGTGATTCTGACGTCCTCCCGACATGAAAGGCGCTATACAAATGTAATTTTGTTGAAGTGTTAAAAGTCCGTAAATCAGAAAAGGGTGTCTTGGACTGAGAAACCTATTCTGATGATTTTTACCTGTTTTTGTTTATAGCAACTATCTGTTCAACTCTTGCAAACTTGGAAGGAGATGAGAGTTTTGATCCCTCTTTAGTGGGCCAAGCTGAGGAGGTGGTTCAAGAAAGGATATGCGATGATGAACTGATACTTGTTAAAAAGTAAGAAAAACATGTACAACTTACTGAACTCCCATTTATTTGCTGCCCTGCTAATATCTGTGGCATGAGCAGTTGTACGCTTGGGATAGAGAATATTCAGCCTTGTGTGACTGAAGACCTTGCTGATGTCTTCTCAGTAATGCATTAGCTGAACATAAAAAATTATCTCCAATGTATACAGTGTAGTATCTTGTAATGTTACTGTTAGTGTTGCAGAATTGAAAAAGGTGTTGGGATTGTAATGGGGTTGAATTTTTTTTATATTGACTGCACAGATGCAGATTAATTTTGTTGTGCATATAAATATAATCTAAGCAGTTTGCTGATGAAAGTAGAACTGTCACATCTATTCCTGGTTTAAGTCGGCAATGAATATTGCTTTGCATAACAGTATATAAGCAATAGGTATTGTTCATTCAGGAGCAGTGCACACAATGTTTGTGATTGAAAAAGGGATCTAGATTCTGATTTCTAAAAGTGAGGTATAAATTGATGCTGACATTTTAAAATGAGTTTAACCCAACCCTCACAAGTACTATTGTTGTAAAGTTTAATTTGTATTTTTCAGTACAAAGGCCCGTACTTCTGCATCAATCATTCTGCGAGGAGCAAATGATTTGCAAGGGCCGGTCCCTGCAAGGGCCGGTCCCTGCAAGGGCCGGTCCCTGCAAGGGCCGGTCCCTGCAAGGGCCGGTCCCTGCAAGGCGCTGAATGGCGCTCTATAAATGCTATCTTGTTGTTGTTGTTTTGTTGTTTTCAGGTGATCCTTTGCTGGGTTACAGTTCTATAGGCACCAGTTACCTTCCTCCATCTCCATTAGTGCTCATTCTTTGTGAGTGAGCCTTGAGAGCGAGAGTGATTGTTGTCAATCCAGACCAATCTTGTGATAAGGCTGACCCTAAAATTACCTGACATCTTGTGACCATGCTCAGGTTCCAATGGGGCAAGAGAGTCAGTCAGAAGCATGAACTCTCCCAAGCCAGGGACTCTGAGACCAGTCATAATAACCCAAAGCAACAACAACAACCTGCATTTACATAGCAGCCTTCGCATGGTATTGCATCTCGGAGTAGTTCTTATTGAGATCAAACTTGTGACATTCCTGAGATTCTATATTAAATGCACTATATCAAATGCAAGGTTTAATGCTACGGCAGTTGGTACTTTTACCCAGTGGGCCGTTAGAGCATCATCTGACTTTGGTTTTTAAATACCTGTTTTCCATTCTTTGTCATTTGACTGCCAGCTGCTCTCGAGATCTCAGTTCAGTCACTATACTTTAAAATAAATCCTGTGAAACGCTTTGTGACAACCTCCCGACATGAAAGGCATGATATCAAATGCAAGGAATATTATAATTATTTAAACTCTCAGGAGTAGCTTTATTCCTGTAAAGTAATTACAATAGTTACTTTACTTTCAAAGAATTCTGTACCAAAACTTAAAAACATTTCTGGCCTCTATTTATTATTTGTCAACTGAGCTCAGTTGGTAGCAATCTTGTCTCTGTGTCAGAAGGATGTTGCAACTATTTACAAATATACAGTCATTACATTTGACAGCAATTATATGTGAAGTGCTTTGAGATGTTTCAGTGTTCTAACCACTATATCAAATGCAACAATTATTTGGGCGATTATTTATGGTATGAAAACATTTCCATCCCTATATATTTTTTACAAGTTCAAATTTATTATATTTTTAGGACAAACTAGTTTTAGGAAATAAAGTGGGAACTCTTTCCAGTGACCAAAGGTATATCTATGATAATCGTAGATATCTGTTGGAACTCTACTCTAAATTTAGAGTTCCTGGGGTTGGATGATGTACTTCCTGCTTGATATATTGGATATATTTAGAATTAGCTTGATGCTGTGATGGGAGGATGTAGGGCAGGTCCCTGCAGCGCAGGTCCCTGCAGCGCAGGTCCCTGCAGGGCATTACGCCGTTGTCTGAAGAAAGACCTCAGACGAATTGTTAAGGCCAGTGGAGGTAAGTGCAGCAATTTTTTTTACTAGGTTACTGTTTTGAATTATACATACTTTCAAACTAGTGATCCCCTGCCTTATTGGACTCCAGTTATCCGGAATTCCGACCTGGTTGGACGAGGCCCAAAACCAAAAACATTAATTTTATTCTGTGGGCCCAACTCCTAGCGCGGATCAATGGTGCACTGAGTAGCCTCTGTCTGTGCTGACATTCATAATGGCTAGTGATAGCCACTATGACTGACTCAGATTGTTTGAATCCAGCGAGCAGAAAATAGCTTATTCGCTATCTTCTTAGTCGAAAATTGATCTGATAACTCGTTCTGTAATATGGCATCTTGCATTACAAAGGCCTCCAGCCCGATGCTGTGATTGGTAGCGGAGGTTGGGTGCCTATGCTCAGATGCGTTGCAGAGGCCTGCTACGCTGTCTTACATCTTATCGTGTGACAGGATAGGGCCAAAAGCCACGGAGCAGCTGGGAGGACCTTTATCAAACTCGCTACTCCGGATAACTTATTGCTCAGCTCTTTACCCTTGGAGTGACAAGCTATCGAGTTTAATGTCCAATATTAATGTCATTCAATTTTGAAAGGTTGGCATTCGGAATCAGCTGGAATTTTCCTAGTGATTCTGACGTCCTCCCGACATGAAAGGCGCTATACAAATGTAATTTTGTTGAAGTGTTAAAAGTCCGTAAATCAGAAAAGGGTGTCTTGGACTGAGAAACCTATTCTGATGATTTTTACCTGTTTTTGTTTATAGCAACTATCTGTTCAACTCTTGCAAACTTGGAAGGAGATGAGAGTTTTGATCCCTCTTTAGTGGGCCAAGCTGAGGAGGTGGTTCAAGAAAGGATATGCGATGATGAACTGATACTTGTTAAAAAGTAAGAAAAACATGTACAACTTACTGAACTCCCATTTATTTGCTGCCCTGCTAATATCTGTGGCATGAGCAGTTGTACGCTTGGGATAGAGAATATTCAGCCTTGTGTGACTGAAGACCTTGCTGATGTCTTCTCAGTAATGCATTAGCTGAACATAAAAAATTATCTCCAATGTATACAGTGTAGTATCTTGTAATGTTACTGTTAGTGTTGCAGAATTGAAAAAGATGTTGGGATTGTAATGGGGTTGAATTTTTTTTATATTGACTGCACAGATGCAGATTAATTTTGTTGTGCATATAAATATAATCTAAGCAGTTTGCTGATGAAAGTAGAACTGTCACATCTATTCCTGGTTTAAGTCGGCAATGAATATTGCTTTGCATAACAGTATATAAGCAATAGGTATTGTTCATTCAGGAGCAGTGCACACAATGTTTGTGATTGAAAAAGGGATCTAGATTCTGATTTCTAAAAGTGAGGTATAAATTGATGCTGACATTTTAAAATGAGTTTAACCCAACCCTCACAAGTACTATTGTTGTAAAGTTTAATTTGTATTTTTCAGTACAAAGGCCCGTACTTCTGCATCAATCATTCTGCGAGGAGCAAATGATTTCATGTGTGATGAGATGGAGCGCTCCCTACATGATGCACTCTGTGTTGTGAAGAGAGTGCTTGAGTCCAAGTCTTTAGTTCCAGGAGGTGGGGTTGTGGAAGCCGCACTCTCCATCTACCTGGAAAACTATGCAACTAGTTTGGTATGGGTTTAATTGTATTTCAAGATTATTGGGGGAGGGCACTTTTACCGTATGCTTTGAGCTGATTAACCAGGGATTACTGTCCCTATTAATTTGCAGTATTAAAAATTATTTTAAGAAAATAAGTTAAAAGTACTTCATGTATTTAACTGTTGGCTGTCTTTTTGTTTAGGGATCACGTGAACAACTTGCCACTGCAGAATTTGCCCGGGCCATGTTGGTTATTCCTAAGACTCTGGCAGTGAATGCTGCTCAGGATTCTACAGACCTTGTTGCAAAGTTGCGTGCATTCCACAACGAAGCTCAGGTCAATCCTGATCGCAAAACTTTGAAATGGTAAAAATTTTATTGTACTGTGGTCTGCAAAAGATTGTGACTTGAGACCCATTGTTGTCTGAATCAGCGATGAAACTAAATTTGAACATTGTTGCAATTCATGAGCAATCATTGATTTTTGGTGACCTGGTGCCCCAGATAGCAGTAAAGTGCAAAATTGATTTTCTCCATCTTGTTAAAGTAACTTTTATGGCGGAGTTGTCAGAATTCAATCGGAAATTATGCATGTTTTACTAATATTGTAGTGACTGGCTATTAAAACAGTGTTAATCAAATTCACATTTTGTTTGTGCAGGATTGGTCTTGATTTATTGAATGGGAAGCCAAGGGACAACAAACAAGCTGGTGTCTTTGAGCCTACTATGGTTAAAGTCAAGAGTCTGAAGTTTGCAACAGAAGCTGCTATAACCATCCTGCGAATTGATGATCTCATCAAACTTTACCCAGATGAAAAGCAAGACAAAGGAAAGAGTTACCAAGATGCAGTTCAAAGTGGAGAGCTTAATGGCTGAAGCACCTGAGTTCTAAAATCAGCTGTTATAATTCATGTTTAACTCTTGGCATCCATCAGGTGCTTCTTGTACTTCTGTTCTAGATTGAGCAGCTTGTCATACGTGTCTGAAATCCAGTGCCACTTGTTTAGTGCTCTGTTTAATTTACTATGCTTGTTTAGTGCTATTTGGCACAAACCGGATTTAAAAGACCTCTTACTTTGTTACCTATAGTCAACTCTTTCAAGTTATTTGTGCAAAATTATTTCCTGTACATTGACAGTTGTGCTTCAAGCTCCTTCAGAAATAAAATGTGACAGTTGTCAAGTGATCAGCCCATCTATGTAGGGAGCTGTTAAGAGATCACCTTAATTTCATGAATAAACGTTGATGTTGTGCTTCTGGTCTTTTCAAATCTAATTAATTGTGTATGTTATTTCATTGTGGACATGATTTCTCTCTCACACAAATTCACTGGGGAAAACATTCATTAAAAATACTACTGGGGAAGGATGTAATAAGGCACTATATCAAATACAAGGATGATTATTATCTCCCCAAATAAGTAACCTCTCTGATTCTTGGTTGCTGATCTTACCATGGGGAATGATAAAATGCTCAAAAGTATTAGGGAGCATTTGTAAATCAATTAAAGCAAAATTAAAATACAATGAATGTTCCCCTGCTTTCTCACATGTATTCAACCATTTTGCCCTTCTATAAATACTGGCACTTGATGTAATTTGAGAGTCAGTTTACAAGATTCAGCAATGGTACATTGAGCAATTTATTTCATAAAGAAAAAAATGGTCAATCTGAATTGAGAGATAATAGGAAGGAACTTATGAATTTTAACAAAAGTATGGATTGCACATACACAATATTACTATGATTTCAAACTTCAGTACATTTAATCAAATATTTAAAAGTTACACTAATTTTCAGAACCATTTTATGTGGACTGAAGTTTTGAATAGTTTTAAAACCTACCTACTTTACACATTCATTATAAAAACAAAATGCACCTACATTTCATTGGAATCAGGCTGTAACCTCTAAAATAAAACCTCAATTTTATCCAGTCAGTAGCTTAGCTGCAGAGTATCTTCAGTTCTTGTCGTAAAATTTAGGAGTAATTTATTGCCTTTCAACACACATAGCTATTCCCATTCCACCTCCTATACACAAAGAAGCAATGCCACGCTTTTTTCCTGTTCTCTCCAGTGCGTAGAGAAGTGTAACCAGAATGCGGCACCCAGACATTCCCAGAGGGTGAACTAAAGCAATAGCACCACCTTGGATGTTCACCTAGAAAGACAAACACAAAAAATGCATTTTTTTAAAAAAAGAGGGAAAACCTTTTCCCTAATTTTCTCCTTACTCCACTGGCCTGCTTCAGGTCCACTGCCTATCCTACCATCAGCAGTCAGGCTTTCAGCCTATCTGCTCTCACTTTGTGGAACTCCAACGAGAGCCCTACCACCTCAACTCTCCCTTACCTCCTTCAAGGTCCTCAAAACCTTCCTCTGACCGGTCATCTTCCTGGCCCCCATCCCTCCCGAATCCAACCCCAGCTTGGATGCAAACCCTCGACTGCAGTGGCTTGGGACATCCTCCCGACATGAAAGGCGCTTTATAAATGCAATTTGTTGTTTTATTACATCCCACATTGACCCATTGGGGGAATCAGGAAGTAAAAAGGATCAATTGCATTTAGTTGTAGTGCCAATTTTTATATCTACATTTCTCAGCTTCTCTGGGTTTATACCAAGTTCCTTGACAACAGCTACAGACTGTGATGCAAAAGCTTCATTGATTTCGAAGAGATCAACTTCATCCAGCGTCCAGCCGGCTTTTTCTACCTAGAATAAATAGTAAATCTACGTCATTACCCTTGAATATGAAGATGGTGGAATGCACAGTGGGTGAATCATTGGTTGAAAAGAAAACAATCTATTTGACCCTACTTCAAGGGGGACACAATTTGACCGCTCCTCAGTCAATGTTATCAGCCATGTGAGGAGTGACCGAGCAGACCTTTTCCAAATGGGAAAGGGAGATACCTGGAGTTGAGCCATGACCCCAGTCTCGTCTCCTGCAGGTGCTTNAAAAACAATAGCAGAGTCCTGGGGGCAGAATAGCTGCCAATTCTCTCACTTGCAGGATAGCCCATTCCCAAAACAGGACACACCATATAAAAGTAGAGTTGTGCTAATAAATGAACATGTCTGAGTCTGGTTAAGGCTCTATGCTGTGAAGAGGTATAAGTATTAACAATATTCTTGTATTACTTACGGCCTTCCTTATTGCTGCTATAGGCCCGACTCCCATAATGGCAGGATCCAAACCATCCTCAGCCCAGGATACAATCTGAGCCATAGGTTTCAGGCATTTCTTGTCAGCTTTTGATTTCTTCATCAGAATTACAGCTGCGGCCCCGTCATCTATTCCTGCAGAACTGCAAACAGAGTGTGTCGTCAGTAAAGTTACTGCCTTCTTTTCAACGACTTTATAAGCAAATTACAAAAGTGATTCTTTCTGCTGACCCGAAGCATTAGCAGCAGTGACAGTGCCAGATACACCCTTTGCGAAAGCCGGCTTTAGTTTAGACATGGCTTCGAAAGTGCTTCCGTGACGGGGAAACTCATCGGTTGTCACCTCGATAGGCCCTGAAGAGAGAGAGAGAGAGAGAGAGAGGATGATGTTAGATTATTAAGGCTCCTAATTAAAATGTAGCACTTCGAGGCTACACAATAGTACCAAAGAAATTTTAATTTCATTATAATAATAATAATAATCCTTGCATTTGATATAGCGCTTTTCACGTCAGGAGGACGTCCCAAAGCGCTTGACAGAACACACTGTAAAGTGAATTGACTGTATATTTGTGGGCAAACGCGGCAGCCAATCGCGCACAGCAATGTCCCACAAACAGTCGTAGATTGAAAATGACCAATTTATTATTGTTTTTGGTTTTTGGAGGGATTATTATTAGGCGTGTGGAGTAAGGAAACTTGCCCAAGGTTTTGCCCTGCCTGGAATTGAACTCAGGTCTCTCGCTTGCAAAGCGAGTGCTCTAACCACTGAGCCACAGGACTCCACAGGACTTATAAGTGTTATACATTTAAAAACAAGTGTGGCACATATGTTAGTCGAAGTGAATAGTGTTGGCCTCTGTCTGGTTGAGTGCCAAACAGTTTGGAAGACCTCTTGCAAGCCCATAGGGTTTAGGGCAGACTGGATGACATAAGATCACAAAAGAGGTTTGGATAAATAAAACCTTTCGGCCTGTTCAATCTGAGCCTTCCAGAATATCCATGCTATCATCTCTCATTACCGCATAGTTTTTTTAAAAAAGTGTCCAGCAACCTAGCTTCTGCCATCCCTCCTGGTAATCTACTGCAGTTGCAGCAACGTGTAAAGAAACACTTCTTGTTGTGTGTCCTAAATAATGTCCTTTACAACTCTGAACCTGTACCTTGTTTTCTGCTGGCTTGGTATATCTGAATATATTATTGTAGGTTTACTTTCTCAATCTCATTCAGCATCTTATATACCTCTATAGAGGTCCCCTCTACGACATTTGTTTTTGAGGCTTGAAAAAGCTTAGAATATGCAACTTTCTGAAACCTTCTCCTACACGCACTCACACGCGCTCGTGCAGATGAACCAGTCAGTCTCAAAATCTCTCCTCCTAGGAGTACAGCACATACCTCTCCTGGAAGGGACGGAGACAGGAACAATTTCTTTTTCAAAATAGGCAGCTTTCTGTGCTGCCTCAGTTCGATTCTGGGACTGTACAGCAAACTTGTCCTGCTCCTCTCGACTCACATGCCACTGCATCGCCACATTCTCAGCTGCATCGAGAGGACGAGAAAAGTAATTCGGGAAACGTTCTGTAGCTTCAAACCTTTATACAAATATGTGCATGGCCAAGAGACCGTAGCTATACATAATGATGGCTATCAAGTAACATGCTACTTTACATCTACGTCGGTTCTATGAGCTTGCACAGCTTTGGTTCACACATTCACACCCTCCAAGGTGGTTTTAGGATAACACACACCTTCCTGGCTTCTGTTAGGCCAGTCATCACAGTGTAAAAGTACTGCCCTCGGGTGACTTTGCTTATCTGTCACCACAGAGGATAATTTTAAAGATATATTGTTGCTCTAAAAAGGTTAAAAGCTTGAGCTTCCAAGGAATTCAACCACAGAATCTTTTGGTCTTAAGTTGGCTGAGCCATGTAGGATGCCTGGGTCTCCACCAAGAATAGTATGTTTCTATTCGCGAGGATGTTTAAAGTGCTTCACAACTATGAAGTGTGTAGTGACTGTGTATTTTGTAGGAGCATCTTTAGTCAACAGTCATGTTCCCTTTACAGTTCAGAACAGAATTAACCTCCTCCATATTTTGAACTTCAGAAAGGATTCAGGTTTGTTCCAGTAAATTTGTTCACATTTTTCCAATCATCGATGAGCACCTCCACAGCTGAGGTAGTTAATACACGACTGTGTCTTGGAGGCTGGGAACAGGCACTTTGGATTGCAATCTGAGCTCAAACACATTTTGCCCATTATTTCAGTATCTAATTTTAAGAAATGGTTACAATACATGATTAAATAGAAACAAAAAGAACATTTTCTATTCAAATAAAGCCCCCCATTTTTAATCAGAACAATACTATCTTATAAATTTATCAAACCCTGCATATAGATTGCTCCATTCCCAAGCTGCTCTATTTGAGCACTTGGTTGACAAAGGCACTGCCTGGCGTTGAACTGAGACTTGGATGACCCAGATTTGTGCCAGGTTACCTGGTCTCAGCTTGGCAGCAGATGGGATGTTACAATTAGTTTGTATAAGTAGGAGGAAAAATACAGCCAGTGTTCCCACTTCTTATCACATTCAATGGTCCTGGCTGGAAGGTGCTTGTGTGTGGACAGGAAGAGACTTGTCTGTGATATTCCATCTCCTCTCATGGTAAAACAGCCCAGTGACCCTTTACCACTCGGATTCCCACATGAAGTACGGCCACTTTAATGAGATACTGGAGGGCAGCTGGTAGCCTTAGAACTAAACACCACAGATCCTCAGAGAGGTTAGAAAACAGAGGGAAATGCAATTAATTTCCAGTACTTAAATGCAAACCTTGTATTTATTCAGTGACAGTTCTTACCTGTTACACCCATGTGGTAGTTATAAAAGGCGTCCATTAGGCCATCACACAGAATGGTATCCTGAATGTTGAAGTGTTAAAAGTCCGTAAATCAGAAAAGGGTGTCTTGGACTGAGAAACCTATTCTGATGATTTTTACCTGTTTTTGTTTATAGCAACTATCTGTTCAACTCTTGCAAACTTGGAAGGAGATGAGAGTTTTGATCCCTCTTTAGTGGGCCAAGCTGAGGAGGTGGTTCAAGAAAGGATATGCGATGATGAACTGATACTTGTTAAAAAGTAAGAAAAACATGTACAACTTACTGAACTCCCATTTATTTGCTGCCCTGCTAATATCTGTGGCATGAGCAGTTGTACGCTTGGGATAGAGAATATTCAGCCTTGTGTGACTGAAGACCTTGCTGATGTCTTCTCAGTAATGCATTAGCTGAACATAAAAAATTATCTCCAATGTATACAGTGTAGTATCTTGTAATGTTACTGTTAGTGTTGCAGAATTGAAAAAGGTGTTGGGATTGTAATGGGGTTGAATTTTTTTTATATTGACTGCACAGATGCAGATTAATTTTGTTGTGCATATAAATATAATCTAAGCAGTTTGCTGATGAAAGTAGAACTGTCACATCTATTCCTGGTTTAAGTCGGCAATGAATATTGCTTTGCATAACAGTATATAAGCAATAGGTATTGTTCATTCAGGAGCAGTGCACACAATGTTTGTGATTGAAAAAGGGATCTAGATTCTGATTTCTAAAAGTGAGGTATAAATTGATGCTGACATTTTAAAATGAGTTTAACCCAACCCTCACAAGTACTATTGTTGTAAAGTTTAATTTGTATTTTTCAGTACAAAGGCCCGTACTTCTGCATCAATCATTCTGCGAGGAGCAAATGATTTGCAAGGGCCGGTCCCGGCCAGGGCCGGTCCCTGCAAGGCGCTGAATGGCGCTCTATAAATGCTATCTTGTTGTTGTTGTTTTGTTGTTTTCAGGTGATCCTTTGCTGGGTTACAGTTCTATAGGCACCAGTTACCTTCCTCCATCTCCATTAGTGCTCATTCTTTGTGAGTGAGCCTTGAGAGCGAGAGTGATTGTTGTCAATCCAGACCAATCTTGTGATAAGGCTGACCCTAAAATTACCTGACATCTTGTGACCATGCTCAGGTTCCAATGGGGCAAGAGAGTCAGTCAGAAGCATGAACTCTCCCAAGCCAGGGACTCTGAGACCAGTCATAATAACCCAAAGCAACAACAACAACCTGCATTTACATAGCAGCCTTCGCATGGTATTGCATCTCGGAGTAGTTCTTATTGAGATCAAACTTGTGACATTCCTGAGATTCTATATTAAATGCACTATATCAAATGCAAGGTTTAATGCTACGGCAGTTGGTACTTTTACCCAGTGGGCCGTTAGAGCATCATCTGACTTTGGTTTTTAAATACCTGTTTTCCATTCTTTGTCATTTGACTGCCAGCTGCTCTCGAGATCTCAGTTCAGTCACTATACTTTAAAATAAATCCTGTGAAACGCTTTGTGACAACCTCCCGACATGAAAGGCATGATATCAAATGCAAGGAATATTATAATTATTTAAACTCTCAGGAGTAGCTTTATTCCTGTAAAGTAATTACAATAGTTACTTTACTTTCAAAGAATTCTGTACCAAAACTTAAAAACATTTCTGGCCTCTATTTATTATTTGTCAACTGAGCTCAGTTGGTAGCAATCTTGTCTCTGTGTCAGAAGGATGTTGCAACTATTTACAAATATACAGTCATTACATTTGACAGCAATTATATGTGAAGTGCTTTGAGATGTTTCAGTGTTCTAACCACTATATCAAATGCAACAATTATTTGGGCGATTATTTATGGTATGAAAACATTTCCATCCCTATATATTTTTTACAAGTTCAAATTTATTATATTTTTAGGACAAACTAGTTTTAGGAAATAAAGTGGGAACTCTTTCCAGTGACCAAAGGTATATCTATGATAATCGTAGATATCTGTTGGAACTCTACTCTAAATTTAGAGTTCCTGGGGTTGGATGATGTACTTCCTGCTTGATATATTGGATATATTTAGAATTAGCTTGATGCTGTGATGGGAGGATGTAGGGCAGGTCCCTGCAGCGCAGGTCCCTGCAGCGCAGGTCCCTGCAGGGCATTACGCCGTTGTCTGAAGAAAGACCTCAGACGAATTGTTAAGGCCAGTGGAGGTAAGTGCAGCAATTTTTTTTACTAGGTTACTGTTTTGAATTATACATACTTTCAAACTAGTGATCCCCTGCCTTATTGGACTCCAGTTATCCGGAATTCCGACCTGGTTGGACGAGGCCCAAAACCAAAAACATTAATTTTATTCTGTGGGCCCAACTCCTAGCGCGGATCAATGGTGCACTGAGTAGCCTCTGTCTGTGCTGACATTCATAATGGCTAGTGATAGCCACTATGACTGACTCAGATTGTTTGAATCCAGCGAGCAGAAAATAGCTTATTCGCTATCTTCTTAGTCGAAAATTGATCTGATAACTCGTTCTGTAATATGGCATCTTGCATTACAAAGGCCTCCAGCCCGATGCTGTGATTGGTAGCGGAGGTTGGGTGCCTATGCTCAGATGCGTTGCAGAGGCCTGCTACGCTGTCTTACATCTTATCGTGTGACAGGATAGGGCCAAAAGCCACGGAGCAGCTGGGAGGACCTTTATCAAACTCGCTACTCCGGATAACTTATTGCTCAGCTCTTTACCCTTGGAGTGACAAGCTATCGAGTTTAATGTCCAATATTAATGTCATTCAATTTTGAAAGGTTGGCATTCGGAATCAGCTGGAATTTTCCTAGTGATTCTGACGTCCTCCCGACATGAAAGGCGCTATACAAATGTAATTTTGTTGAAGTGTTAAAAGTCCGTAAATCAGAAAAGGGTGTCTTGGACTGAGAAACCTATTCTGATGATTTTTACCTGTTTTTGTTTATAGCAACTATCTGTTCAACTCTTGCAAACTTGGAAGGAGATGAGAGTTTTGATCCCTCTTTAGTGGGCCAAGCTGAGGAGGTGGTTCAAGAAAGGATATGCGATGATGAACTGATACTTGTTAAAAAGTAAGAAAAACATGTACAACTTACTGAACTCCCATTTATTTGCTGCCCTGCTAATATCTGTGGCATGAGCAGTTGTACGCTTGGGATAGAGAATATTCAGCCTTGTGTGACTGAAGACCTTGCTGATGTCTTCTCAGTAATGCATTAGCTGAACATAAAAAATTATCTCCAATGTATACAGTGTAGTATCTTGTAATGTTACTGTTAGTGTTGCAGAATTGAAAAAGGTGTTGGGATTGTAATGGGGTTGAATTTTTTTTATATTGACTGCACAGATGCAGATTAATTTTGTTGTGCATATAAATATAATCTAAGCAGTTTGCTGATGAAAGTAGAACTGTCACATCTATTCCTGGTTTAAGTCGGCAATGAATATTGCTTTGCATAACAGTATATAAGCAATAGGTATTGTTCATTCAGGAGCAGTGCACACAATGTTTGTGATTGAAAAAGGGATCTAGATTCTGATTTCTAAAAGTGAGGTATAAATTGATGCTGACATTTTAAAATGAGTTTAACCCAACCCTCACAAGTACTATTGTTGTAAAGTTTAATTTGTATTTTTCAGTACAAAGGCCCGTACTTCTGCATCAATCATTCTGCGAGGAGCAAATGATTTGCAAGGGCCGGTCCCTGCAAGGGCCGGTCCCAGCAAGGGCCGGTCCCAGCAAGGGCCGGTCCCAGCAAGGGCCGGTCCCTGCAAGGGCCGGTCCCAGCAAGGGCCGGTCCCAGCAAGGGCCGGTCCCAGCAAGGGCCGGTCCCTGCAAGGGCCGGTCCCGCAAGGGCCGGTCCCAGCAAGGGCCGGTCCCAGCAAGGGCCGGTCCCAGCAAGGGCCGGTCCCAGCAAGGGCCGGTCCCAGCAAGGGCCGGTCCCTGCAAGGGCCGGTCCCAGCAAGGGCCGGTCCCAGCAAGGGCCGGTCCCTGCAAGGGCCGGTCCCTGCAAGGGCCGGTCCCTGCAAGGGCCGGTCCCTGCAAGGGCCGGTCCCTGCAAGGGCCGGTCCCTGCAAGGGCCGGTCCCTGCAAGGGCCGGTCCCTGCAAGGGCCGGTCCCTGCAAGGGCCGGTCCCTGCAAGGGCCGGTCCCTGCAAGGGCCGGTCCCTGCAAGGGCCGGTCCCTGCAAGGGCCGGTCCCTGCAAGGGCCGGTCCCTGCAAGGGCCGGTCCCTGCAAGGGCCGGTCCCTGCAAGGGCCGGTCCCTGCAAGGGCCGGTCCCTGCAAGGGCCGGTCCCTGCAAGGGCCGGTCCCTGCAAGGCGCTGAATGGCGCTCTATAAATGCTATCTTGTTGTTGTTGTTTTGTTGTTTTCAGGTGATCCTTTGCTGGGTTACAGTTCTATAGGCACCAGTTACCTTCCTCCATCTCCATTAGTGCTCATTCTTTGTGAGTGAGCCTTGAGAGCGAGAGTGATTGTTGTCAATCCAGACCAATCTTGTGATAAGGCTGACCCTAAAATTACCTGACATCTTGTGACCATGCTCAGGTTCCAATGGGGCAAGAGAGTCAGTCAGAAGCATGAACTCTCCCAAGCCAGGGACTCTGAGACCAGTCATAATAACCCAAAGCAACAACAACAACCTGCATTTACATAGCAGCCTTCGCATGGTATTGCATCTCGGAGTAGTTCTTATTGAGATCAAACTTGTGACATTCCTGAGATTCTATATTAAATGCACTATATCAAATGCAAGGTTTAATGCTACGGCAGTTGGTACTTTTACCCAGTGGGCCGTTAGAGCATCATCTGACTTTGGTTTTTAAATACCTGTTTTCCATTCTTTGTCATTTGACTGCCAGCTGCTCTCGAGATCTCAGTTCAGTCACTATACTTTAAAATAAATCCTGTGAAACGCTTTGTGACAACCTCCCGACATGAAAGGCATGATATCAAATGCAAGGAATATTATAATTATTTAAACTCTCAGGAGTAGCTTTATTCCTGTAAAGTAATTACAATAGTTA